AATTCTGTTGCACTAAAGATCAACTTTAAGGCAAAAGGATCACAGTTAATGTGCTCATGGTGGGGACCATACTTCCCACTCTGTTTCTTAAGCATAGTATTAAGGTCCTGCATGGGAAGTTAGTGCACAGTGACTCATGTTGTTAATTTAACCATTAACACTCTTATGTGTGACATCAGTGACCGCCCAAGGCTCTTGACATGAGCTGCCTAGGCTCTGAAAGCCTTCTGAATCTAAAGACTCTGTCAAAATTCAAACAAGGCCATAAGCAAAGTGAAAGTTCTCTCCACCCCACAGAGAAAAGTACATCCTTCTTTGATGACCATTTCTTTCCACTGGAGTCTCACCCAGGGAGGTTCTCCATGCAGGGACAACTTTTCCCACAAGTGTCCTGGCTTTCCACACCTGACATGCTCTTGTGAGCCTTTTAGCCAGACCAGAAGACCAGGATGCCTTTAGGGCTAATTCTGAGGTCACAGAGTGTTACTTAGAGCAATTGCCATTCTATGAGTCTGCTGTATGGACTGCTTCATATATTGGAGCATTTACTCCTCTATAACACTATTAATTCTCTTGCTATGATCAGTTTAACAATTAGTCCCATCTATACGACCACTTTAAAACTTAATCCAATCCAATAGGATCATTTTAAAACTTAATCTAGGGCTGGCACCGCAGCTCACTAGACTAATACTCTGCTTGTGGCACTGGTACCCCTGGTTCTAGTCCCCATTGGGGTGCCAGATTCTGTCCCGGTTGCTCCTCTTCCAGTCCAGCTCTCTGCTATGGCCTGGGAAGGCAGTGGAGGATAGCCCAAGTGCTTGGGCCCTACACACATATGGGAGACCAGGAGGAAGCACCTGACTCCTGGCTTCAGATCAGCACAGTGAGCCTGCCATAGCAGCCATTTGGGGGGGTGAACCAACAGAAGGAAGACCTTTCTCTCTGTCTCTCTCTCTCACTGTCTAACTCTGCCTGTCCAAAAAAAAAAAAAAACACAATCTAATCTGTATAATTATATTAAAACTTAAGATGTCACTTTCACTATCTAGCCCAAGGGGATTTGAGATCCCATGGTGAAGTAAATTTAGTTGTGAAGTTACAATTTAAGCTCTTATTTTGGCTATGCTATTATGTAGCGAATGTTAGCCACTCCTTTCATAAGATCTAAAAATCAAACTGTACGTCTTGGAGAATCCCTCAGCACAGAGTCCGTTTCCCATCTTAAAGGGAATAGAGAGAAATGAGGGAACAGTGATTACAACTATTAAATAACAGCTTATGAAAATATTCACTAGGATGTCCAATGCCTTTTATACATTTTAATACATATGTTTGGAAATATCTCTTAAATATCTAACACAGTGTAGCTTGCTTAACCAGCAAACTTGAGCACACACATATGAAGCATTTTGTTTCTTTCTACCAATAGATTTAAAACATCTTACAAAGAGATTTAGGTCACATGAATCAAATGTATCTTTGATTAATTTTAGCAGTTTAAATTTATGAGCAATCTTTCATTTATAGGCTAATTAAGACAGAGCTCTTACTAAATTTTCCTATGTAGGTGTACAATATATACACACATATAACACAACATACAAGACAGAACAATGAAGCAGTTTTGTTAATAGTTTCCTAAAATCTTTAGCTGTTTTTTTATTATCATCAACCATTTAGAATTACTTGCTGCTCTTAATAATCTAAATTAGCCAAACTTCTGTGAAGTTGGCTTTATCTGTTTACAGAACTGTCCCAGAGTATTGAACACAATAGAGGTCATGGAAAAAGAGGTCCTTTTAAACCTAAAATGATACATTTAAGCATAGAACCAACAATGTTTTAGTTTCATGAGCAGCAGATATGGTATATAAAACTGTGGATAACAAAAAATTTTAAGTAGGCATGTTTAAAATTATAAACCTATTAACCAATAAGAGGTGCTTGCTTACTCCATACAATATTTTTTTAAAAAGCACTTATAGGATTTTGTAAGAGAAATAACCCTTTTAGGCCTCTGGGCCTTTCTCATTAAAATAACCATCATATCTAGTAACACAAGATCATTAGACTTTAACCTTTAGACATTTGTATTGGTAGCATTTTATATTATCAAAATTTAAAATTTAGCACCACTTCGTATCTTGATAGTACTTCTAATACAACCCAAATAGCCTGATGATTTGGTGTCTCTACAAGATGAGAGACATGTCCTTTGATATTTCCAGGTGCCTATCTGGAAATACCAAAGTCCAAAATTTTTGGAACTGAATTTTTGAATGCCTGCCAATAATGCCAAGAAGGCTCAAAATCCAAAATATCTGGTTGAAATAGGATCCCTTTACATCATGACATCATATAGACAAAATTTGATCATTGTTATAAGGTGATTATATGTGTTTCAGAATAAATATGTATTTTAAACAAATCATAACCCAAATAAGAACTCAGCTGTTTTAAACAATTAGAACCTAGCAGAGACATTAAGATAACATAATAGATTAACTTAACACAAAATCTGCATCTCTTTGGTTGTTCCAAAACTGATAAATAAAACCTTATATTTAAGAGCTTGTATATTGAATCAAATCCCATAACTTGGATGTTTTAACAGAGTCAGAACTAGGGAAGAGAGAATAGCTTACTGGAGCTGGCTAGAAAACTCAGCAGAGTCACCAATTAAACAAAGCTATCAAAAGGAGATGCTGCAGGTTTTAAAATAGATTTTTAGCAATATTTTGGAATATTTACTAACATATGCATTGTAAAGTCTACATTGCTGTAACAGAGGATCAGATTTTAGTTCTATGTCAAATAGATAAATAGACATATATTTTGAAATAACCCTCTAGGATTCCCCACATTAAGACAACACTTTTTAAAATACAGTAACATCAAATTTCAAGCCTAGTTATTTCCAAGTGGTGTTGAACTATTTTCATATGGACAATTTATGAAAACATGTTAGCAAGCCCAAGTGGCTTTTCTATATAGACACATTCATCTCATTAGCTTTACCCAATTTTACATTTAGCACTTACACCTAAATGACTTATGATGCTGATAGTATATTATATTGTATCTCTATCTGAACTTAAAATCAAAACTGCATTTATCTATAACTAGTAATAAATATTTATTGCTGTTTTCATCATTGATTAACCATTTCTATAGCACTGGAAACCTTTTAAAATATATATTGCAAAATAAGTTTGGCATGTTACAAAGCAATAATTTTGAAGGCAGTGATACTGCTGGATTCAAAGAGAGAAATTTTCTTGGTATTCAGTTACAAGGCGGGGACAACCTGTGAGAGTAACTATAGGGTTAAATTGAAAAATCTTTCTCATCTGTGTCTGTATTTGGCAGCAGCAGGTTGGCATAGGAGCCTGAAGAGCCATGGGAGCCCAGGTTGGGGCTGATGGTAGTGCCCATTCCAGCAGGAACACCAGAGACAAGTTTTGGGGAACATGTCCATTTATTAACAGCTACAGATGCTTTTTAAAGAGCAGGGAGAAGGAGCGTAACTAACTCAGGGGAACACTGACTATAGGACAGAACTGATACTGATACCAATATGCCTCTCCACTCAGCTTTTCTGGGGGGCCTAAAGGGCCAGGACCACACCTGGGAGCAGTTTACCTGATTGGCAGAAGGTGAGGGTGGGGAGAAATGTGCCTGGGCTCAGGCTAACTGCTGGGATGACCCAGAGAGATCTATTTTCAATTGACTTTATACCACAGTGCTGGCCCCATTTGCCCATTTCTTAACTGGGTTGTTTGTTTTGCTGTTGTTTTCTCTTTAAATTTTCCCTGAGACTGCACTCCTTCCACTTTGCTAAAACTGTCTTCTACTAGAGTAAAGCAGCAAGCTCCCTCCCTACTCTGCCATCCAGAGTAATCACATTGCTTTTATGATACTCAAATTAACCAATATTTCTTGTATTTTTTAATTTAATAAGTCAGGCAGAAATGAAAGAATTTCATTGTGATCAAATAAGAGTGCATCAAACAATTAGACAAAAAGCTTACCATTGTGGGCTGGCATTGTGACATAACACATAACATTGTTACCTGCAACACTGGCATAACACATGGGTGCTGGTTTGTGTCCTGGCTGTTCCACTTCAGATAGATCCCTGCTGATAGACTGAGAAAAGCAAAATCTTCTGAATAGTACAGATGAAATCAGAGGAAAAATGACCCCACTACATGAGAGGCCTGAACAATGCTTCCTTTGCAGTTATGTGCTCCAGTAGATGCTATGAGAAGGCAGTGTGGCCTTCATGCCCTGTGGGTCACACATTTTCTGCAGGCTGAAGAGAGCTAACTTATATTTGGTACCTTCTATGTGCAAAGAAGTTCAGACATCTCTTACTTGCCACTTTACCTAATTAGCTTCACCTGGAGCTCTGCGCTCTCCTGTCTTGGTTGCCTGGATACCCAACACATTCTGTGTCTACCTCCATCTTTGGGGACATATGAGCACATGGGAGGGTGAACACCTTCTGTGTAGCATGAAAGTAGCCATGGATGCACATGGGCATGTGTGAGCACCTTTGTGTACCAGGCACACATTGATGCATGTAATTTCTATGTGTAAACACATTTTTACCAGGCACATGTCTGTGTATTTACGTGTACACAGGAGTACCTTCTGTGTACCAGGCACACATCCATGAATGCACATGTGCTTGTGTGAACACCTTTGTGTACCACACATCTGTGCATGTACATGTCTGTGTGCCAATACATTTGTGTACCATTCACATGTCTGCATGCACACACATGTATGTGTGTGTGTATGTTAGCACCTTTGTGTACTAGGCACATATCCATGCATGCACATGTGCTTTTGTGAACACTTCCATGTACCAGGCACACATCTATGCATATAGGTTTGCCTATATGAATCCCTATGTGTGCCAAGTGTCTTTACATGCAGCAGCCTCCCACACTCCCTCTGAGGGTGATACTACTATTTTTTCCACTTTTTAGATGAGCAAAAAGAAGAGGGTAAACCATCTTGACTAAGATACCTCAGCTGCAGTGAAGAACCCAACACTTCATTGTCCAAGCACTTAAGCCCAAGTACTTGAGTCCCAGTGTAGACCACTCCACTCACATAGTAAGTGACATATCAAATAGTCCTTGCCCCCAACTCATCTGTATCCCCAGCACTGATCCCTAAACTCTCAGGAAAGGATTCCCTCTTGTTGACTAAGTCACTCCCATCAGTGACAAATATTTGTCAAAATGAGAAATAAATTGACAAATTTTCTCTTCAGCCATTTTGTTCAGTTCACCAAAGTTTGGTTACTGCCTCACTTCACTCAAGAAATCTCTGGTCCAACAATCTCTCTGTCCAAATGAGAGCTTCACCAATGTGCTGATTTCCCAAGCTGCCTGCAGCATCAGACCTCACCCTCCTGCCTATTCAGGCTCTTTTTGCTCTTGACTTTTACTGTTGCCAGTCTCTTCTCACCACATAAGGTCAAGAGGCTGTATCCTAACACAAGACCATAAAGCACAGATTCTGAACTTTCTCCCACTGTCCACGGACCACACTTCTTAAAACCTAAACTTCTTTCATGATACCCCTCTCTTCTCATTATAAACAAGAATCTTAAGTCCAAATTCTTGGCTCTGAATCCTAGCCACCTTCACTCAGTCCCACTCACTTTCCTTCCAAACATCCTTCCCCCAGCTTAGCTGTCACTGCCCCAGCTCCACACTTGGCTGTGCCCTGGACAATGCTACTGCCTCTCTGACTTCTGCTAGCATCCAACACAGGCCTCCACTCCCTTAAACCATTCCCTACAAGGGATTTCTCATGTATCTCAGATCTTGTACTCACACTTTTGCACATGAATTTACTTCTTAGAAAGTATTATTTAATAAATTCAGTTGCTTTCTAAAGTAATTGAGATCATTCTGAGTTTTATTATCTTTGTGTAAACTTGCATATAATTGTTATTGCCATTTTGTGGCATTTAATGTAGTTTTAAGATAATAACTTCACAATGCATATTTGCAATTCAAAATTTAGGAGGAAGGCATTGTCATATTCACTTTTTACATAAGACACATGAGCTCATGGGGTCTGCGCTATGGTGCAATAGGTTACATGAGCTCATGGGGTCTGCGCTATGGTACAATAGGTTAATCCTCTGCCTGCAGTGCTGGTGTCCCATATGGGCACTGGTTCTAGTCCTGGCTGCTCTTCTTCCAATACAGCTCTCTGCTGTGGCCTGGGAAATCAGTAGAAGATGGTCCAAGTTCTTGAGCCCCTGCACCTACGTGGGAGACTGGGAAGAAGCACCTGGCTCCTGGCTTGGATTTGCACAGTTCTGGCCATTGTGGCCATTTGGGGAGTGAACCAATGGAAGGAAGACCTTTCTCTCTGTTTCTTCATCTCACTGTCTATAATTCTACCTCTGAAAGTAAATAAATAAAATCTTTAAAACTAGACACATGAGCTCTCAAAGAGGTTAAGTTACTATCCAAGATCACACAGCTAGTAGATTGTAGACCCAGGAATTGAACATCAAAGGCTGTGTTAAGATGGAAGTTTATAGCAACCAGTGGCTACATCAACAAACTTGAAAGACATCAAATAAATGATCTAAGGATGTATCTCAAGGACCCAGAAAAACAAGAACACACCAAACCTATACTTGGAGGAAAGAAATAATTAAAATTAGAGAAGAAATAAACAAAATTGAGGCAAAAAAATATAGAAAAGATCAGTGAAATGAAGAGCTGCTTTTTGGAAAAAATAAAAAATATACACCATTGGCCCAACTAACCCAAGAAAAGGAAGAAAACCCATATTGAAAATTGGAGATGAAAAAGGATTATAATGAATATCACATATAAAAAAAAAGAATCATCAGAGCCAGCATGTGGCGTAGCAGGTAAAGCTGCCACCTGCAGTGCCGGCATTTGACATGGGTGCTGGTAAGAGAATGATAAAATAATATCACTTATGAACATAGATGCAAAAATTCTCAACAAAATACTAGATAATCGACACATCAGAAAGATCACTCACCCAGACAAACTGGGATTTATCTCTGGTATGTAGGGATGGTTGAACATACACAAATCAATAACTGTAGTACATCACATTAACAAATTGAAGAATCAAGGCTATATGATTATCTCAGTAGATGCAGAGAAAGCATTTGATAAAATACAACATCCCCCAAAAAACTGGAAGTTATATGAGGGCAGAAGCCATTTTCTCCCTTTCATGTCTTACATCATCCCTCACTCCATCCCAACCTCAATGGTGGTAGTTCAATATATATGTTCTCTAGTATGTACCATAGCAAGTAAATTAAATGTGTTCCTAAAACTTATCGAGATTTTCCTGCATGCTAGCCTCTATTTTAAGCACTTTAGAAAGATTAACTCCGCTATTTCTCACATAAATCTTAAGAATTATAGAATTTTATTACCCACATTTTACACATGAGAAAACAGATTCATTAAGTAAGCCTGTTAAGGAAAAGGAAACTGGCAGAGCCAGAATAAAATCCCAGGTGGTTGAGTCCATGTTCCATGCTACTACTCAACATTGGCTCCGAAGGGGCCTATTTACTGAGCTTTGTAACTGTGTGGCCAGGTTCTAATAACCTGAATTCTGTTTTGGAAGAGCTCAGTTCTTTGTTTCAGCTGAAGTTTTTGTAATTTATTCTTTCCCACAAATATAGAGCATAATCAAGCCATCTGCAAATGTAAGAAATGTGCAGCTCTGGCAACACAGAAATTCAGTTCCTTGGGGTTGCATTCCCATGGGCGTCAGTGAGGCTGGCAGGAAAGCTGTCCAACCCCAGGATGGCAAAGTGTGGGCTGCCACAAATGAACTGCAGCTCTGCATCTCATTGTTTATTCTCTTCTGATCTCCCTCATCTATCTCTGCCCCTCCTTGCCAATATGAATCAGGAATTGTCATTTCTCTGAAGCAGCAATGCTTAACATACTGTGAGGCCTTCACTGGGATTTAAAATTGGGAATGTATACCATTTTGGAAATCTGGAACGCACATAATAGGAAGCTAAAAATGCAGCTGGGAAGGAGGCAGAGGGTGAGTGTCCTCAGCAGCTGCTCTGAACCCTGACTGCACATTGGAATCACATGGAACACAATTATAAAAATACTATGCCTAGTTCCCACCCCCAGAGACTCTGACCAGATTGAACTCGGGTTTACCCTGGAGATCAATGTGTTTTAAAAGCTTCCTAGATGATTCTAACATTCACCAGGGCTGAGAATGTCTGATCTAGGGCATTACTGTTGTGGTCAATGTTCATTCACAGATGTCTTTCTTCAAAGGTGAGCAGAATCCATGTTATGAATCACCAAGTTCAATTTGTATACATCACTGCAATCTCAGAGACATTGTGTGTGCTTTGTTCTAAGCCTGGTGTGCCCAGAGGAATCATTCATTTCTGGAAGTATTGTAATCTAGAATCCAAATTCCAGCCCACCTGTTTGTCTGAATGTGTGTCTCCCTTTATTGATGAATCTCGGATACCTGGCCCAGGCAACCATCATGGAAGCAATGTCTTCTTTTTAAGCAAGCACATGCTAGAGTAGGTCAGATCTGGCCAGCACTCACTACAGGACAGTTCCCCTCTCTGAGCCTACAAAGAGAAGGAAGTAGGAGACTTTGAGCATTTTATGTCAACCTAAATGTAAGCTTCCCTAGGGATGTGCTGGACCTGGTTATTACTGAGTCATTAGAGTTAATTGTGTGTATTTTCCTCTCCTCTTCAGTTTCAGTGCTTTTGTGTTGGCAGTAGGTATATATATACCAGAGAAATATGCAATAGCTTCTTTTTTTCTTCTGGGAGTCTGATTGTTAAACATGAACATGCCACTGAATTTACCCAGAAATAGCTCTCTAAAGAGAAGTGAAATGTAGGCAGTGATTTCTGGCCTTCAGTCTCCATGTTGCACCTGTTTCTGCAATGTGCTCACCACCTTTTCTCCAAAGACATCCAGGAATTATCAAGTTTCTTTGCACATCACACATATATGTAATCATATCAAAATTATCTGAATATTTATTTAGAATAAAGTATAAAAGTCTTAGAATGACTCAAAATGTGACATTATCAGGAAAATGTGCATTTTGACAAGGCTTACACATTTAAATAAAATGATTGAGTCTCACAAGGAAATATGAGACATCAATCAATGTATACAGTGAATTTGGGAAGAGGCTCTAAGGCCTTCCCAGCATCCATGCAACTGCCTAAGTGGGAAATTGTCACCTCTGCCAAGTGTGTAAGACAACCCTATTTATTCTCCAACATGAGTCAAGCCACTTTGCCTTCCTTCTGTGCGTCAGAATGCTTCTCTACAACCATTCTGTCAGCTACCTTGAACTTCACTATTCTTGTGTCATCACAACAAGCTGTTGAGGACATAGACCAAAATGGGAAGAGCTGAAGTTCAAACCCTGCAGTTCTAATGAAATTGGTACTGTGGATTCTATTAGTCATGATATCTGGCTGGCATCAGTGTTACTACTTCAAAGCCATGGTCCTTCAACCCATGGAACTGAACATGTCTTGGGATTCCTCCCACTTCCTTCTCCCAGGATAACAGTAACAACTACTGGCAGTCAATTATGAACCAAGCACTGTTCTATCTCCTTTACATATATCTTATTTAATTTTCCCCCAAATTCTAATTATTCCCATCTTACATATGTAGAAAATAAGGCATAGGTTAATTAAGTAATGAGCTCAATTAAAAGCTGAAAACTACAGAGGGAATTTGGGTTTTTGAATATGGTTGTCTGACTCCAGAGCCCATTCTCTCAGCTATCCAATCACACAAACTCATATATTGATATTTAATTATAGTGCTTGTAGTCTGTTGTTTTAGGTATCATACACTACTTGGTACAGAGTGACATATCTGAAGACCTTGTCAAATTCCTTTTTAAATATTTGTTTTATTTATTTGAAAGGCAAAGAGAGATGGAGAGATAGAGATCTTTCATTCACAGATTCACTCCCCAAAGGCCAGGGCTGGGCAAGACTGAAGCCAGGATTCACGAGTTTCTTCCAGGTCTCCCACATGGGTGCAGGGGACCAAAGTCTTTCACATGGGTGCTGCTTTTTTAGGTGCATTAGCAGAAAGATTGGAACTGGAGCAGCTGGGATTTGAATCATTGGTCATATGGGATGCTGACATTGCAGGTGGCAGCTTAACCCATTAGGTCACAATGCTGATCCCTTCTCATCTTCTGACATGCTGTCAGCATCTCTGCAGGGCAACTTCCTTTCCTGGTGAAGGTGGATGGGATACGAGAGCTCAATTTTTTCATTTTGTTGATGCATGGAATATTTGTGCACACTGTTTTTTTTTTCCTAGAAATGAATTTAATGACAACACAACATATGAAAACCTATGGGATACAGCAAAAGCAGTGTTTAAGTTTAGAGCAATTAGCACCTGCATCAAGAAATTGAAAAGGCATCAAATAAATGATCCAACAGTGTACCTCAAAGATCTAGAAAAATAAGAACAAACCAAACCCTAATTAATAGAAAAAAGAAATAATTAAAACTAGAGAAGAAACAAAATTGACACAAAAATTAATAAAATGAAGAGCTGGATTTTTTAAAAAATAAGCAAACTAACTAGAAAATAAAGGGAGAATACTTAAGTATTTTTTAGAGTTATTTATTTTAAATTTTAAATTGTGACACAAAGAGAGCATGCTCCCATCCATTGGTTCACTACACTCCTGAAATCCCCACAATAGCCAGAAGGCCAAAAGTGGGAACTCAATCCAGGTCTCCCACATAAGTGGCAGCAACTTGACAACTGGCCTGCTGTCTCCCAGGGAGACAGGAAGCTGGAGTTGGGAGCTGGGAGTCAAACCCAGGCACTCTAATGTGGGAAGCTAATTTTCTAAGTGCAATGCCAAACACTCCTATTTAATTTAGAGTAACATATGCCTAGGGATGATAAAGAGTAGACTAGGAAATGTAGCACTCCACATTTAACATGCAACTATTAAATCACTTACAGTCCCCATCACCTTTCTGAGAAATGGTGGTAGTAATGGATGTCTTACCTAGCTTGGGCAAAGCAATATAAGAGATCACCTTCAAAACAAAAAGGTAAATTTATAAAATTACTATGCTGATTTTGGGGACAGATTATGTGTGACTTGTGTATTTCTAAAGCAGAGAGATTAGTTAGCCCAATTAATAATTACTCAAATAGGGAGACAGTTACCTGGATACTCT